AAACTTTTAAAGAGTACCCATCACATTTCAATGACTTAAGACTATGCACCATATTAGTTTTTGGTAAATATTTATGCTTCTTAATCACTAATTAACATAATTAATTAATACTGATATCTCAAGTATTGATCGTCACATTTGAATAAAACTTGGTCCATAAATGCTCTTAGGACAATAGACAGCCTGATTAATTTTGGGTTAAAATCTGTTCATATTAATTCTCTAATTAGCATAATAAAACTAATATTTTTTTGGTTCTAATCACATTTCAATGAAACTTGGTACATTGTGCAGACCTTATTAGTTTTACACTTAAATCTGTTCATATTAGTTACCTTATTTGCATAATTAGTTTTCAGCTATTCCATCAATATCTCAAGTGGAAGTAATTTTTAATGTGTCTCCAAAACTCTCAGCACACAGGAGTTCTTTCTAAGCTTTCTTTGATTTAATTTTTGGTAAAAATAGCCATTTTTGACTTCTTCTTTAAAATTGCTAGTCAAATTGCTTTGATATTTTAGATGTAGTCACCTTTAGGGGACTACTTACAGATTTGTACATTTCTTGACAATAAGTTTATTTTTCTAATTTTAATGAATAATTTTGGTGAAAAACAACAGTATATCAGCCAATAGGCTGCCTGCTTCGCTTTTTAAGATCGTCTAAATTTAAGTCCAGTATTGATATATTTATCAACTACCATGTATTTTAGGTGAAAAATGCTGGAGGAATTCTAACCAAAAAGGATTTATATGATTACAAAGCCATTTGGAAAACTCCTCTGCAAACAATGTATCATGGTGAGTAAGTTTATTATAGTCACCATCTCCTCTTTAGGTCTAAAGGCACGCACACAAATTACACATCCTTGCATTCAATTACTCAATCATTTGTGCTTGAGTCCATGAGTCCGTCCTTCCATACATTCATTTGTTCCAGTCCCTCCATTTCCTCAAACCATTTCCTGTCCATCTGTTCCCAAACCATTCATTAACAAAACCA